GAGAGAGAGAGAGAGACAAAGAGAAAGGAGCAGCCTGGTGGATGATCCCGCCTCTAAGGAGCCGCTCCGTGTCGGAGAGCCCGTGTTCGGGGGCGAGAGCGGGAATCTACCCCCATGTCCTCTTCTCCCTCTCCGCGTTCTCCACCCTCGTCATTCACCCTCACCTCTCCGTCTCACTGTCTCCCTCTCGCGCGGCTCGCTTTTCCCCCCCGCGGAGGACGTACCGGCGCAGGCTCCGATACAGCCAATCGTCGGACCGCGACTGATAACGACGCTGCCAAATGTGCGTCCGTCGTACCGCGGCCAAGTCCGCTACGGTGGTCCACGCGCGCCGACAAACTCTCGGGATATCCCCGCGAGCGAGCAAGCGAGTGAGCGAGCGAGCGAACGAGTGATCGAACCGAGTCGCCGATCTGGTAATCCCCGCGGAGATATCTACGCTCCGGCGCGAGTACCGTGAATCCACCCTTCTTCAGCGCGTTGCACCCCCTTATCGTGGTTCTCAGTGTCGATTCCTTAGTCAACGATCTCGATTTTTTTTTCGGAGTCTCCAGCCTCTACGGAGCAAGCCACAGTGAGCATTCAAAGTGAACGTGAAGACATTCGGACGATCTTGAGAGGTTTCGGGAAGCTATTGTCGAATTGGAGACAAAACGCGAGAAATCGGTCCATCGAGGTATCGGTCGAGATCGAGGGAGATAACTCGGGGGGGATCGAACTGGATCTGATAGTGCTGGAAAAGACACCACGTAGGCCCCCGCACTGACGGTAAGCGTCATGACGTTTCGTTTTTCCGGTGTGGTTCAGATCGAGGCGGTTTTTTTACGGGGAGAAATTCGGGAAAGAACATCCCGAGAGAGGAAACCAAAGATTGTCGGTCGCGCGCTTCCGTCGCGCCGGTGTCTCTCGCCGATGGAACAATATCGATAACGCCGAAAGCGACCGCGATCATTTTGCATTGTTTATACGCGAATTTATGGCAATTTTACGAGCTTTTTCTTCGATATTTGCCATCTATCTATTTATTTTCTAATTTGTTCAATTGATTGATCTATCATAATGTGCTAAATTCTGACATACAGTAGTTCTTGTACCAATAATAAAAATAAATCTCTTTCTATGTTATTCACAATATTATTTAATTATTTTTTCATATTAAATAATTATTCGGATTTTTCATATTAAATAATTATTCGGACAATTTAGATCTTATTCTTTTTTTACATTTCTAATCGCAGATTTTTAAATAAAACAAAGTAGAAATAGAAAAAATTGTTTACTTATATATTCGTTCATTCGGTCTTTTAAAGCATCTTCTTGCTTTCATTGTATATATTCATATTCATTGAAATAATAAAAATTATATCATAATGAGAAATATAATTAATCTTGCAAATAAAATATATTAAAAACTTTTATTTCTTGTCGTATTAATTTTCCAGGATGTTTAATTAAGAAAGATTTGTAAAATGGAATTTATTTACACTTCTAGCATTTACAGCTAAAGAAGGGGACTTGGTTTATATTTATATCTAACACATTCATTCTTCATACCTTTACGATACTCCTATATATATATACCATACAAAAAAACAATCTGACCGTAATAACAATAACAAACTTTAGCTATACTAGTTAACTAAACATACCATTCTTAAATATTTTACTCCTCTCTATTCTATTCCTGTTCCCTTATTTTATACCTCATCCTTTACCACCCTAATTAAAAAAAAAAATGTATCAAAATTTAACTAATTTGAGATGAAAATTAATATTCACATTTATTTTACAATTACTTTCTTTCTCATATTAGAATCCAAACTTCCTCTCCTTATTCGCGTACTAATTTCAGAAAATAATTGAAGAAAACAAGATAACTGACTACACAGAGACAAATAGCAATATCGAGCAAACATTTTGTAATAAAAAAAATAAACTTTGTTCTAAAATCCTGAAACAGCGTGAATGTTTCACGATTAAGATATTAAAAATATTAAATGTTTGCAAAATGCGTGTAAACTAGTTAGGATCTAATAGATGCCGGCGCGAGAATGAAATTTGTACGAGCGGAAGCGCTTCGTCGTCGCCGGGACGTGGTCCTATAATTCCGTTCGCGAAGCCTTACGCATGACGCGTCTCCGCGTCTGTCGCCACGCACGTTTTACGGACTAAACGGCGGGCGCACGCATTGACCGACGCGAAATTACCGCGCGAAATTACCGCGCGTGTCCACCGACCGCTACGTCGTCCCCTTGCTTTAGCGCGTTACGCACCGCGACCGCCGTTTCACATCTCCTTTTTCCTCTCTCCTTCAGAAAAATTTTTCATTCTCATGCGAGGAAAAACGCGGTCTCGCACGCACACCGCTCACAGCCGGCACGTTTTCGCTGAGAAAATGACGTAATGATTCGATACAATTCGGATACCCGCAAAACTATTTGCAACAACAATCTTATTGTGCGATTGACAAATGTAATCCTTTAAGCATGTTATTTCATTCATGTCTATCAAACACATTATAAAATTATTTATAAAGGATGATGGTTCTACATTTCCTGTTTCTACGTGATTTTTTTGTACGATATTAAAAACATGAATTTATAATAATTAAAATAATTTTGTGATATAAAAAATTATTATTTAATTGTTGCACTTCATTTTTACTCTCCAAAATTTTCCACAGTACAGAAAAAAACCTTTTCCGAAGAAAAGAAAACAGTATCATAGAAAACAGTACCATAACATATTGTAACAAATTTTAATTTTATTTCATCTAAGAAATTACAATCTTTCATCATATATAATTTCGTAAAAATAATTATCTGTTTCTTAGTCCTCGTATTCTGTTTTTATATTTGATTTTGAACTCGCATCGCATTTTTCGCTTCGTCTTATGACACGGACATCTCTCATAACCGATTTTAATTTATTGACGAGGATTTCCTCGAGAAAGAATAAAGCGTCGCTGCGCGATTCATGTGACATCAGGAGGCGTTTTCCCGGTGGATTCGGGCGGCTTTTTCTCCCTCTCGCGTGCAATCGCGCATCCGCGACGGTGCGTTTAAACGATATGTGTGTGTAGATACACACACACACACACACACACACACACACACACACATATATATATATATATATATATATACATATATATGCGAGACGGGAGTTTAGACGAGGTAGGCAGAGGGGTTTCCGGCGAGCGTTAACAGAGTAACAGAGTGATGTAATGAGGCCCGGAAGCAGGCAATTTGCTGCCCGCGGCGGCCGCAGTTGCGCGAGACAACCTGCCCGGAGTACCTTCTTCTTGATACCGCGGTCCAGTCGCCTCCAGTATCGGACATACCCGATTGATAAACTCGCGGAAAGTGGTGTTGTGAGAAAGCGAGAATAGGGGAAGAAAATATTGCGCCGGTGGCCGCGCGCGAGTGCGTGTAAAGAGAAATCGTCAGCGCGCGTCGAGAAGAACGTAATTATCTTGTATGATGTACGCGCGGCCCGTTGGCACAACGTTGTTTTGTTCGATATAATGAGTGTGAATTATACGCGACAATGGACGTTGCACAATTGGCGTAAGGTGCAGTTTTCTGAATCTACGAAATCGGAGATTTTAAATTTATATCGATATTACGTTGTTTCTAATTTTTGTTAAACTCTAATGCCTAACTCGAAAAGAGCGACGTAGCGATGTAGCGAAATACTTTTTTTGAATTTTCACGTTGTTCTAATTTCTTTCCCTTGGGGAAAGCTATCTTAGTTAAAATTAATTAAAGCTCAAATTTATTATATTACTCTTGAAATATACGATACTTTCATTAGCGCATCATTAATTATAAGTCGCAGTGAAAATTTAATAACATAGAGATTAAAGTTGACTGAGAACGCGACACTGTTTGGTGAACGAAATAGATTCTCGATAGCGTAAAAATGGCGACCGCCCGAGCGGTCCGCGGACTACGGTATCCCCGACGATCGATCGCTCGATTCGGCTTTTAAACTGTCAGACAGAACTGTAAAGACAATCCGGCTGCGCGCTCATCGTGCCGCGGAACAGCGTGACTATGTGACAGTTTTGTGATTAGATTGACCTCAATACGTGCTGGACATCCGGATGTACCCACGAGAGTGCTTTTATCCTTAACCATCCCGATCGAACGTCAGCGAACGTTTCGCGATAGTGACTTCGAGACTGAAAAAAGATTTCTCGCCTTCCGGACTATTTCTGGTAGATGATCCAAGTGAAAAAGTGACATTTAAGCGACGATCAACGTACCGACAGTGAAACGTGTGCAGATTCATCGCGAAAATTGTCTCGGTGATCGAAGGTAAACAAAAGAAAACCGAAACTAATTAAGTACGAAAAAAGTTTTTAAGATTAAAAGATAAAATCATCCACCAAAAAAAATTTTACACATTTCTGATATTTCTAACAAAAATTGACTTGTTTATAATAGGAATAATACGAATCACTGACTTATTACAAACTTTCTGCCAAATAAAATTTTACATATAATTAGTTTTATAAAAATCTACAAAATATTCACAGAAGTATTCACAATTTAAATTATAAATACCAAAAAACGGAAAGGTGTCTGAATATAATTCAGCCAAGTTCAAATGTTATTTCAATACTTCAATGCTTTTTATATATAATACGCAAATAAATTAATCTACCGATTTTAGTGAGAAAGTGATAACGCTAGATAAATGTGTATTTAACTTTCTATTAATAAACTTAAGGTCAAATAAGAAAGTCGGTCGATAGTTCGTGTACAAGCACATTACGAATAGTTGAAAATAAATATCTACGTAATATTCATACATTAATATCAGCTCGCATGATAATTTCTCGATCTACGTACATTTCCTCTGAAGTTTAAAAATAGAACGAGAGGAATCTCACGTGTTCGCGCGATTCGCACGTGGATCGACCAGGCAACATCAAGCGGCATCATTTCGTTTGAATAATGATTTATGTAATACGGGAAGGGATAGCGGAAGCGGCAGATTTTCAAGATTAGACGGAAGCGAATAACTCGCGATAAACGACAAGCTTCAATATTATAGGTGGCCTCTTATCTCGGCGCTCTCCGCGTTGCGGAATTGCGGGGAGATACGATCACAACGGGCCTCATGCAAATTCGATTGTGGATCGCTTTCGCAATTTTGACGATCGTAAGTTCGAGGCCGTGTCGTCGATGAAATGTAGATGATAGGCATCCCGACGTGCTTTCTAGATTACGCGACTTCGATTAGGAGGCTTTTCGTTGTTACGTGCACGATAGTTCGCCGATATCTCCTGAACGTATGTTTTTAATATTTGTGCCTGTCTTCATCGAAATATCTCGAAGAAAGCGATAAAGAACCATATTTAATATACATATAACGACGATGTAGTAAATACGCGAAATATATGAATACAGATCAAGATAAAAAGCATAAAATTATAAACGAAACTCATTTTTTCTATTTGCATTCTTGTAAATTAGATTCCAAAAATTATTTTACAAACTTAATAATTTCATAATTTGATCGCGGATAATTCCGTAGATCAATTTTTGTTAGAATATCTATGTTTAATTGAAGTAGTATAGAATTTGCGATTAGAGAAGAAAGATAGTTTAACGTCTATGAAATAATAATTTTTATGGATTAATAGTGCATTCGATGTGACCTTTTATTCTTCACTAATAGATATCGCACCCAAAATGATGAATAAGAATGCTAATATAATAAACGCTTCCCTGATGGTGTGCAGCTTTGGTTGATTCATGGCCAGCTGCAACCGAAGGTAGACGTATATACCTGCCTATTAAGTGTTATTTTGACCGGTTAACTCAGAAACACGCGTACGAGATATAAATGATCCAATGGTAAAGGCGTAAAAAATTGATTGTATAATAGAACCTTTATCTTATCTCTTACGAAATACGATCCCAAAAACGTATTACGTTTTACCGATTTAATGATAAGCGATTTAATCAGTGATTCGTAGAGGCAATAGTCTCGAAATAATTGAGACCGGCTAATGTTAGGTATCATTAATTTAAGTAAAACATTTTCAAACTGTTTGCTTTAAATTATATTAATGAGAAAATTAATCAAAAGTAAGAAATAATTAAATATTATATAACGTTGATTTCGGAAAGAAGAGTCGGAATACAGTAAAGAGTTCAAATGCGATTCAAATATGATTGACTGCAATATTTATCACGTCAAGATTATTAAATGAAAAATATTTACGCATATAATACGATAATCTATTTTAATTCGATCCTTGCCTTTGCCGGATGTTTCAAGGGTCCTTTAATAATTCCAACTGCGGTATCTGCATGAGCATGAGTGCTGTCAGCCTAAAGTAACGTAGACTTGCTCTTCATTCGACCCTGCATTACATTTTAACCACTAGCTATCCATTTTAATAGCTCTAAAGGATTTAATAAAACTTCTTGGACAAAGCCAATACGTGGATAACAGAATCAACTTTTTCGATTTTAACTTTGCGCTAATAAAATGCCGGCTTGTTACTGACAGTTACCATTGGATGATCCGTACAGCGACGTGAACCGTATTTCTGAGAGTTGCAATGTTAATATTCAGCAGGAAGTACTCAATTGAACGAAACGGAGTCAACGTCGACGTACAGATGTTTCTCATTGAGACTTCTTCCTAATATGTAACTGAATCAGTAAATGAAGAGAGAAAGAAAGAGATTAGAGATTACCCAATTTTACATTTCTCCGGGTCACAAAAATATATCCAAAAATAATAAAAAAAAAAGATATTTTATTCGCGTATTTCTATTTAAGAACTTCTTACCGAGTCGAAGATGACTTACGCTACCAATTAAAATCTACCCCTGCACGACGAGTTGTTCCCGATAATTGCGACTCTCTTTACCGTTCACGAAAGAAAAAAAAAAAAAACCTAAATTGCAGGGGCTCTTTGGTGATGTACGACAGCGCTAGCTGTTCGTACGCAGGTGCGCTCGAATTAAAGGGAGCCTCCGGGGCCGGAGCCGCGGCCGCGGCCGCCGCCGGTGTAACCGCGGCCGGCGTCAAGCAGGAGAACTGGCCGTATCGCGGCCTCACCTGCGGCAGCACCTTTCAACGACTCAAGGAAAGCGTCGACAAGGCGAAGCAGGCCCTCGCCGATCGCAGTGGTTACCTGGCGGGTGCGTTTTCGCCGCCTCCACGCGCCAACCCGTCCGCCATTTCGCCCACCGCCTCCATCACCGGTAAGCGAGTCTTCTCTTATTACTTCACATTACTTCTCGGTCCTTCCTCGGTCCTCCATCGATAGTAAATATCCTTAAGCTTTTATATAAAAGGAACTGGCATTTAATATAATTTAAATATTTTCATGTGTTGCAATCATTTATGTAAGATGAAGCGAACGTAGGATAAAATATAATTCAACCGAAGAAGGTAAATTTTTCCTGAAAGAATAAATTTTAAATTATAATATAACATTTTCTCAAAGCTCGTTTCTCGGAAAAATAGAGTTGAAAAATTCATCTTGACATCACATACATACATCTTGTGTACATCTTGACTAACACATACGTTTGTTTATTGCTCATTATTTCCGCTACGGAGATTCGTTATTAGAGCATGACTCTCCGTAGCATATATTATTATCTTCTTTTCTATTAATTTTTTTTTAAAGAAGAAAATCACAAATTGGTTTATTCTTAACTTTGTCGATGGAAGATGCTCAGTTTCTTTTAAATATGAAAATAAAAATATTAATATGAGACTTGTCATTTCTTTGGCGTCAAGCGGGAAGCAGGCAGGTGCAAGATATGCACGAAAGTGTAACTCATTGCATGGCGATGCGAAATAGTTGTTGCCGTAACGCCGAGCGTAAAGTCACGCACAAACGTGTGTGGAAAGACACGCAACCTGATTACGCGCAAGTTTATCCCGGCATAAGTGCCGCGGAGATACCATCGATCGGTTTTAATATACGCCGTGATGACGTAATGCGATTAATGAGAGCAAAAGCCTTGCTATTTTCCCACAACGATAACGGCAATGGAGCATACGACATTAAGATTTTGCCGTGAGTCGTGAACGCATTGTCACGATTAGTTTGCGTGACGTGTCATAAAGGTGTCTAACGTACGTATATTTCATTTTCACACATAATTATTTTTGGATTCAATTTTATATTTTCTCTTTGTAAAACTGTAGATTATTATATATGGAAAGAAGACAGTTTTGATGAAGTATCTGAAAACTTGGCGAGATACAGATCTAAAAATAATTTTGCTGAATCATCAAAATAATTATGCAGGACGCTAAAGCACAATGATAACATTGCAAAATTTTTTATATTTTAGTAACCAATTTGAACGTTTTACACAATTATTTTGTACCAACAAAATTATCTTCAGATCTATTCAAACTTTTAAATATTCGTATAATCTCGTGATAAGTAAAAAATCTCATATAATAAGACAAATAAATTTTAATTAAACGTTATCACAAATTTTCTTTTACTTTTTGATATATCGGGTATTATAAAAAAAAACTGCAATGTCTGTGATATCTTGAAAAATTGCTGCAATTTTATTTCCCCCTTATTTCCTCTATGAAGATCAGAGAAACCTTCAGGCAATCTAATTTGCAATATAAAGACCGGGTTAATTAGCTCGCCACTATTTCCTCAAGTAGTATCAAGTTTATATTGAAAATGCAACGCGGCGTCTCGCCTTTGATAACAGTGCGGTTATCTCTTTCCGAAATCGTTAAGAACCGGTAAAGATGAACGTCACACTGCGATGTTTCTCCCGTGCCAAGAGAAACGCGAAAAAAAAAACCGGGGCAACGGTCTCGCGCGCAATAATTTGTCATCCGGCAGTAGCAGCAGCCGGCGGGCGGCGGGCTGACTGTTGCTCTTCGTTGTCGCCGATTTCCGATTGCTTTTTTAAAGCGCCGGTCGCCGAGGACATTAATTACCCCGCCAGTGTAAATCACGTTATCTACCGCCTACGCCGCGCCGAGGGCCGCGAGGAGACGGCGGAACGGAAGGGGAGAACGACGGAGGAGGAGGAGGAGGAGAAGGAGAATGAGGAGAACGAGGAAATGGTGGAGAGGATCGGGGAGGTGTTCGAATACGGCGGAGGTCGTGTTGCACGATGCGATGGTGTTGCATCGCTGCCAGCCGAGCAAAATGCCCGTCGACTGCTCTCCACGGCCGCAGCAATATCCTGCTCGCCGTTCCCGAAATTTATCGGCGACTCGCCCGAAACTTTCGTCTCGCCCGGTAGCTGCGTTTAACGGCGCGACGCGGTCGCCCGCATTTACCTAGGCGATCGATCGATCTCCCTCTTCTCTCCCCCTCCCCCCACGCCTCTCCTGGATCGCGCGCGAATTCTGATCGGGGATGGCTAGTCGCGCGCTCGGTTTTTCACTCACACCCCCGTAACACGTTTTTCATCCTGACCGCTGATTAATTCATCTCGCGCCGCGACAGCAAGGTCACCAAAATGACCGGCTGAGATAATGTTGTATTCTTCAATAACGCCGTGCAATACGTGATCCATGTCGTCACGAAGCGATAGCCATTAATTTCTGAAATGACACCCCCAATATTCTTTCGGTCGGATATTTGGTTACGATCAAAACAGATATGAGATTTAAAGAGATCAAAGCTAATCCGCTAAATGTTTAATTGATGAGATCATCGTATTCTAGTTTTGCTAATTGTTTAGCTTACACTTTGCCTTTTTAAATTGCATTTCAAGACATAATAAAAATATCGAATGATATATTGCCGCCCTCTCACTGTCATTAGTGAAATCAATTTTAAATAATCAAATTTTCGAAAATTTTAAGATTATTATTTAAGCTAGCTTTATATATATATATATATATATATATGCAGATTAAGAACAATTTTGCAAATCATTAATATACTGTACTATGCATCATATACAAACATGAACACAGAATAATTTATATATCTCACAATTAAATATTATTTATAAGATAAGTAGATCGTAATTCGACATTGGAGATATTTTATTCTTATCATAACTCATCATAACTCTCAAATTTTTTTTATTTTCCTTGTTTTTTTCTATATGACAATCATCCACTTAATGACAACATTGTATTCAATTGTACGTTACCCTGTCTTCCTGCACGTTCATTCAACTAAGGGAAATCTTTAGTCATGTCTGTATCTCAAAGGACCGTCTCAAAATTTTGACGGGACTCGTAGGGTCGAGACAAGATGGTGGGTCGATGATGGCGGCGGGTAGTTGCGAAAATGTAGAATGACGAGGGAGGAGCGGTTACAGGGTTAGCCGGGAGCGTATCCATGACGACCGACCGCCCCACGTACCCTCCGAGATCCCGGATGCTCCCCTCGGCATCCCAGCATCCCTCCCTGTCCTCCCCCTTTCCCGCTTACTCCCTTCTCGCTCACTTCGACCGCCACCCCGCGGTTCTCTCCCTGCGTTTTGCCATCCCGGGCAACCCTCTATCTTCCCCTACGGCCACCGGGCTTACTCTATCTTCTCCTATCTACGGCCCGCTCCGGTGAATGCACGGCTACTTAGATTTTAAGTCGGGCCATTTCGTGTCGTGTACCTATACCTAACCCGGCTATAATTCTCGCTAGATACCAGACATGCCGACAAAGGAGCTGGATTCTCCGCGAAATTTCGACCCTCGCTCCCACGCGCGACGGAATTTCGATGTGAACGCGAAGCACAAATTTCGCGGGACACAAAAGCCTCTCTGGAATTAAAACCGTCGACTTCGCTAAACTCGCGGTACGTCGCATGATGATTCTGACGTCGTATTTTATCCGCACGATAATTCTCCGCTAATGGAATGTCGAGTTGAAGACAGCGAACTTGGCCATTAAACTTAATACCGCGCGGATCAATCCTCGAAAAATGAAATAATGAATTGAACACAAGTTAATATTCTTATACAGTATGACTTATACAGTATAATTTCTGAATTAAATATTGAGTTGGAAAGAACGAATAGATTTGGAAAAGCATTGACGAATGTTGAGATTGTTGGTCGTGAATACTTTCCCTAAAAAATTCGTATCTTTAATATAAATCTTATACTTGTATCTAATGTTAATCTTATATTAATTAATATCTTATTGGTAAAAGAGAAGATAAAGGAAGAGTATGCAATTTATTTTTTACATTTAACACGACTTAATACTTATATACTTTTATATATATATATATATATATATATATATATATATATATATATATATATAT